CTAGAACAGTGCAGCTATAACTCCAGTCCCAATGTGCCTCCTTGGCGTGGTCCTTAATTAATCAAGCACAGGGACAACTTTACTGTTTAAGTCAACTTTCTATTATGGAGACCGATGTTATAAGGAATCTGTACTTACCTCTAAAAATACTGTCACCCAGAGAACGTTGAAGACGCAAAAGAAAGCGATGCTCTCGGAGGACAGGAACAGCTGCAAGAAACCGAGGACCATCGGGACCAGCAGAGATGTCGTGTAGAAGCCGAGGAAGGTGAAATAAAGTGCTACGGCTTCTCCGAAATACAACCTGATCTCCTCTGCATAAGCATAAAGGAGAAATGTCTGTGATTATGTTCATTAATCAGTCAGTAAAATAGATAAATTCATAAATCATACCATATACGTCTCATTTTCAAGTTAGGTATGCACAGCTAAACGGTTCTTGCGCATGCGCAACATTTGCGGATAAGCTATATTGATCATTAAATACGTGTGTTAGATTTCTTCATGAGGTTTGTTTTAAATACTGTTAGCTGTATTGAACGTATAGCGAATTTTTTAGATAAGTTACACTGAAGATGCACGTAGAAAAGCATAGACCACGTAACATGTCCACTTGTTTCCGTCTCTAATGCAACATAAACTTTTATTTTAAAGTATCATTAATTTCACATTTTATTTTACTGTTAATTAATTGAAACCGCTCCACTGTATCAGCTCATGTGTCAGTCTGTTACATGCTGCTACTGCAAGTCATCGTTTTTTGAGAAGCTATGCCCACACTTCACTCACGCTACTTTCCTATTAAGGCATTCACGTTGTCCTCTTGGCGCGCAGCTCTTCCTAATTGGGCGTGTATCGCGGAATACAAGGGGTACACGCCCGCCTTTATATTAGGTTAGTTTTCATGACATGTAATCAAATCTGGTTCTGGATAATATATTTCTCACAATAATATAATGTTTCTTGAGATGTTCTTAAATTACAGACAGTATATAAGGCAAGAATGCCGGTCACGGTAGCCGAGCGGTCTAAGTCTAAGGCATGCACTGTCTTCTCTTGCTCGGAAACCGGGATCGTGGGTTCGAATCCCACTCAGGGCATGGATGTTTGTGTGCGTTTTTCTGTGTTTGTCTACAGGTAGAGGCCTTGCGACGAGCTGATCACTCGCCCAAGGAGTCCTACCG